AGATTTCCTTCTTCACCTTCAAAGAGTATTTCATTGATGAACTTTTCTGCCGGTCGTCTTTGTTCTGCAGACATCCTCTCCAGTTTAAAGGCCCAGTTTCTTGCCATTGCTTGATATTCATTTTCAGGTTTTTTGAAATGATCCCTGGCTAATGTCTAAAAGTCATGTTGCAAGTTCTCTATTTTCTTCTTTTTTGGTTGCACTGGATTTGTAAATGCCAAAAGTTGCGACGGTGTTGAGGTTGAAGATTGTGATGATGGTGATTCCTGGAAATAAAAACATTATTATAATAAACATTTTTCTTTGTCAGGTACCCAGAACAAAAGAAAATTGGAAGATATTGGCGTGACGATTCGGAAATGCATGGAACTTTGATAATTGCATTGGAGCTGTAGATAGAAAACATACCACTCTGCAAAAACCCGAGCATTCTGGGTTCTACTATTATAACAAAGGAACATACATCATAGTATTTATGGGTATAGCCAATACATATTATGAATTCATTATGGTTGATGTCGGTACAAATGGAAAAGTGTCAGATGGAGGGGCCAAATGGGGTCAGCTGGATATCAGTTGCAGATTCCAGAGCCAGAAGAATCGCCAAACATTAATAAAAAATGCCTTTTGTGTTTGTAGGCCATGAAGCTTTCCAACTACTTCCAAATTTTATGAAACCTTACAATAAACAAGTGTTAAATGATAACAGAAGGATCTTCAAATATAGATTATCTCATGCTCGACGAATAATTGAAAATGTATTTGGCATGCTTGCAAGTCGTTTTAAGATTTTTCAAAAACCTATTAAATTATCTCTAAGAAAAGCAAAAATTGTAGTAATGGCGTGTTACCATCAACACAATTTATTTATGATACAAAAAAAATTACATTCGATGACGATTCGATTTCATGGAGAAATAGATGTGGAAGATTGTGTTATGTGGGCTGTTATTCCAGATACTTGAAGAAATGAGCCAATGTTGTTTGGTATTGAACATACTCGAGCTGGAAATAGTGCTTCTCTATACAAGTAAGAGATGATTTTGTGAATATTTTAACACAACGGGTACTATAGGTACCATGGTGCAAATGCTTAGAGTAATTTTATATATTGTACGTGTAAAACATACAATATCAATAATTTACATTACTACTGAGACTTACCTCTTGTTCTATTATTGTGCTAATTCCTGATTCTCCATCCATTTGATCTTGTAGAAATTCTAAATCTTTGTAGTTCCATAATAATGGTACATATAGAGTACATTTGTACTAGAACCAGAAAGCATAGACTTTTTCATTTTGTTGTTTTTGCGCTTGAAACTCGTTCCTAGAATATTAATGTTTTTTTCACGTCTTCCTCAGTAATGTTCCGGCGACACATCTTCAGTAAATTTGTCATTTTTTATGTCCATATAATTTTTTGATTTTATTTTCCATAACATCGGTATATCACGATAAACGGATATGAAATGCAACATAAATTCTTTGTCCGTAATATTGCCACTTAGCATATCATCACTGGGCGTAGCGTCCTCCACGATGCCAACACAATGAGTGAGATCTTGTTTGACAAACACCGCCGTTCACGTTCAAACCTGTTTGTCAAACTCGACATCAACCCAGATTTTCATCAAACGCGACAAACACGTAGAATGTTCGACAAACGCCTTAACACAACTGTACACTATCAAATAATTTGACAAACACGTAAAATTTGACAAACAATTTGATCGTTTACAGTATGGAGTTACAGGGCACTTTTGACCGTCTCGGGGCCCTTTAAAATATTACCGAAATTACTTTGATGTACGAGTAGGTATTCACTACTTCAAAATATTGTCGGTAATACAATTATTAAGTAAAAACTTCAAGTTAATTAATGAAAACAAAACAAAAATTAAAAAGTTCGCTTATCTTTATAAATTCACAAAATAATATAATATGTGTTTTCAGTTTTAAAATTTTCAGAATTTTCATAATTAAACATAAATTGTTTTGGTTTTCATATCACACTTAAAAATCAAATATGATGAGATCTGATTTTAAAACTTGACATAGAAATATTATCTACACTTAAAGTATATATTATAAAACCCTGCATAAAAAGAAGGGATTAATGCTTTTGAAATCAGCTCCCTTAAATATTTTTTCTTGTTTTCACTTATTTTTTGTTTATTAAAGTAGGTACCTTGAAGCGTCATTTCTGTCTTTAGTTTCATTTTCTTCCTTTTATTTCTTACATTAACCTCCTTGTAGTCTATACCTATCCTTGTGTGATGTCTTGCAGAAAAATAAGGTAGGGTTTTCTTTAGTTACTTTTAAGATTTTTATTTCATTCCAATTAACATTCTCTCCATGTATTTATTGTAAAATTGTATTCCCACTCTTCTTGTAATGTTTTCAAATCATAAAATGATTGATAATTCATCTCATGCACAATTAGTGGAGGTTGAGACTTTTTGGCATTCCTAATCACAGCAATGTACCTAGTGGTCGGATGTAATATTGTGCCAGAATTTAAGTTTTTCTTAATTTCTTTCTAAATGAGGATATGCACGCTATCAGCCTCGTTTTGCGTGTGGCCTATAATCAAAAATGTATGCGTAATGCTCCTAATATTTAATTTGGAATAAGTAAATGTGTATATATTTATTTTATTCCGACCACTGTCGTGCTGTGCAATTGTCGGAATAGAAAATCACTTCTTTTTTGTCACCATCTTCGTCGCTTATAGGTTTCAGATATGCCCATACACAAGATCCGATCTCAACCGCACCACATTAAGCATCACTCTCTGTCCAAAAATAGCAATGCACTTTTTTGTTAGTCTACTTTAGATTCCTTCGGCGTTAATTCAGTTAGGGTTAAATTATATCAATTAAGCTTAGACCTATAGTAAAAGGAGGAACTGTTACATTTTGGGCACTGCAACAATGCCTCTAAATGATACACAGCTACTCTCATATTCTTATTCACTTTTTTTTTGCGATCAATAACTTACTATAATCCTATTATTCTTTTTGTTTTAAGTATTTCTCTTCCACGCATTTTTTTATTTTCATTAGAATTAGAATAAGAATTACATAGATCCTTTTTCAGTTGAATAAATGACAGGTTAAATTCATTTGTAAATATTTTACAGTAAGTTATATATGTACCTACTGGCTTATTCTCTTTTTCTTGTTCTACTTTAAAATCATTGAATAAATTATTCTTTAATAGTTTTGTTACCTTCTATAAATTCTTTCGTTGTAGAAGCTCGTAAGTAATGAGATTCAACCTTGGGGATAGAATTAATTTGCTCCATGATCGCAGTTCGTATTTGAGAATCAATTTTGTTATGGTGTCAATGTGTTTCTCTCAAATCATTAAATGAAAAATCATTTTCAATAATTCTATTTTTTACAGTAAAAATCATGCGATCTGCGACATCCAAAGGTGTTTTATAAAATTTTTACAAACTCTGACGATTTTACTGTCGATTTTAAAATGAAATGCTTTGTTGTTGTGCTTGGGTCTTGCAGCATTCGTATATTCGTATCGAGGCTGAACATCAACCATACTCGTACTTATATACGCCCTTCGTTTTACTAAATCACTAAAATTCCAAAACGTCTGAAATAGTTTATATCTTTCTTCGATATTTGTTCAAGGTTCTTTGAGATACCGAGCAGAAACATGATTTTGAGTTTACGGCTGCGATACATATGCTTTTCCCTTATTACGCATACGTTTGGTTTTATTCTGTTTTCATTGAGAAGGATTTTTGGTACGTTTGTGTCCTTTATTCAGTGTAGATGTTGTAGCCAATCTTGAATTTGATGAACTGGTAGAAGAAGAGCTCGAACTGTCAAAGAAATAACTCCTCTTTTTTCTTGGCTCAATATTTACATACGAGTATGTGGGATCCACATCGCTTAAGCCAATGTCACTTTCATCAGTGTATTAACGTCCTCCTATGTTAACGTGTAATAATTTTGAACCTTATGTAACTTCCTCGGATGATAATTAAATTGCTGAAAGAGGAACATTCAAATTAAAAATAACATAATATTTTAAACAACAGCAAATATTGTTTTTATAGCAGCCTAACTACTGGCTAACCCTAACTACTTATAAAGTTCTTATAACGTTTCTTCTATAAGGCAGTTGGTTTAGAGGTGTGTTTTCTATAATATCGTCATCTGTTTCATCAATAATAACATGTCTGGTAGTAAGTAAATGAGAGTTAGTTTGTTTTTTTGTTCGCGAACTATCCGATTCACTTAGATTGATAGGTCTTCGCGAGCTCAGACCGCGCGAAGACCTAGCAATAATTTAAAGCCGATTCAAAACTTGGTGACGATGAGTCAGAAGAGGGTTATCTAGATAAACTAGAAGGTGATGAGCCCAAAAATTAATTTAAGGATGATGAAGTTGATGAAGATTGACGGGCACAATTATTTTCATTTTATTTTCTGCCTCCGTAATCATAGCGTATCATGTAATATTGTCTTCATTGTCAGACAAGGTAATGTCACTATCATAATAAGGCACCAGACTTTTATTACATTGTGAATTTTCAGTCAGGTCGCGGACACCGTGCATGTTACACGATGCTACGCTCTCCTCCCGCTTTTCGCGACCGCGACAAACTAATAAGTGACGACAGTGTAGCTAAGTGCAAAGTCTGTGAAGTTGTTGTCATCAATGAATTACTAGCTTTTGTGGCGAACGAGTTTGACACATTAGCCGAGCTTGGACTTATACAAATATGTTTGAGTGCATACTCCTATAATGATATCGAGTTCGCAAGACAAACTGTATATAAATTACTTGCCCCATGAAAAAGGATTACTAGGCGTAAGGAAGCGAGTGAGAAGAATAGTCTGCAGGAAATAATAAAGTTAGTAAAATAATTTGAGCTGGACTGCCTGCCCATTTTTGTGGCAAAGGATTTAAACAAGTTACCGCCAGTTACTTTTGATACCATCGATGTGACAACGTTCCTTAAGGATATGGCGTTATTAAAAAAAGAAATTGCAGTTTTACGCGCAAGCTCCAATCCCTACAGTTCCTCTCTGGAGCTGCAAGAAAAAAGAATTGGGATCAATCCTGCAACCGGTGTTATATATTCGTCTCCTATGTCTTGTGAGGACAAGATTCCTGGAAGGCGGGTAATTAAGAATAAAAGTGCACAGAAATCGCTGTTAGCCAAAACAAGGGCGCACGCGTCTACACCGGGCGCTCCCCCTCCACCAGAGCCCTCAGCGATGTTATCATTCTCACCTACGACGTCGCAAGGCGCAGCGAACAATAAATCTTTCCTACAGTCCAGCGGTACAGATTCTAAACAATTGTCTAGTCAGCCGAGTTATGCTAAAGTTGCGGACGGTTCTGACTTGGGTCCTAAATTTGCGCTTGATTACGATTTATTAACAGTTTCTGAACACACTCATAATGTAAACAATTCGCACGTTCTTACACTAAAACCGATAAAAGAGGTGAATTGGACTACAGTGACGAGTAAGCGTCAAAAGCGACTAGAGAATAGAAAAGGAAAACCGCATCCAATAAGCTAATTTAATTAATATATATATATATATATATATATATATATATATATATATATATATATATATATATATATATATATATATATCACGAGTACTCAGAAAACGGAAGTTAATAAAATTAATACCTACGAGAATAGTTTTAATGCCTTTAAAAATCACAGTGCCGCTTCACAAGGCTGATCTGCAGTGGCGGATTTACTAGCAGGCTTCGTAGGCTGGAGCCTAGGGCGGCAGAATTTATGGGCGGCAAATTTGAGTATTTTTTATGTCTTACACAAATTAAAGAGATTTAAATTTTAAAAGAAAAGCTAAAGAAATATTTTCTTCCACCATCTCGGAACTCAAAACTCTTTTTCGTTCCTTGCTCTGCCCGTTCTTCAAATTTGCAACGGTGACTTCAGAATATTGCACAGAAGCTTGTCGCTTCTTCATGTTGCTGCAAGAAATCTACATTTTTTTATAAGTTCAACACAACGCTAACAAAAATATTGACTTAAATCAAGAAACGGAAAACGCTAGAGAGAGTCGATCTGACACGTTGGTTAGCTAGAGAGAACGCATGTGGAAGTTTGAGAGATTCTTGGTACGAAGTCCTTAAAACTTTGGAATCAATCAAGTAAGAATGATATAATACCGAAAAGCCTGTAACGCGAAAAGATGCGACAGGAATACTTTTGAATATAGAAAAACCTGAATGGCGGTAGTGGTTGTTGTATGGGATGTTAAAGTTAATATTCAAATTCAGGTTTCTACCGTAGATTCGACTTTGACATTGCGAATCTCTTTGCAAGTTTTTCGTAGCTGAACGAGAAAATTTTAAGTATCTTGAAGAAATGGCGATGAAATTAAACGTGTCGAATCAGTACACAAAAGACACGAATATAAAAACAACCGAAAAGAAAAAATAAATTCAAACACCCAATGAAGAAATGAGAATAACTACGAGTGATATTTTCAGAGTTAGGTATCATATTTCTCTACCTCAGGAAGAGCTCTTCTACAGATTCAATGAAAAGTTTTAGTTTTTTAGCTAAATTAGTGAGTTGTCATCAATAACTCTTACGGAAAAAGCCTTTTTCTTGGAAGGAGTGTATTTTTATGATTTGGAGACTGATTTAATTTAAGAGTGCACATACATTGTCAATGCCACATTTCTTCTGAAAGAATTTTAGTGAAATCTGATTCTGAATAATTGAAAAGTCTATTTTCGTTTCTGCGAAAACAGAATTTGTAAAACATTTATGCAAACTTTTACATAGCAGTTCGAATGCCCTTGTGGACACCACCGATAAATTACTCGGGTGAGAGATGCTTTTTTTTCCTTAAAACGGGTGAAAAATTATCTAAGATCTACCATAAGCCAAAAAATGGTAAGCGCCTTAGCGCTTTTGTGCAGAGTTAGATAATGAACAAGATTTCATACGACGATATAATTGATGATTTTGCGAATAAAAAATCGTGTAAAATAGAATTGCAAAAATTTCATAACTTAACTTATTGAATTTCATCATCATTATCAGCCCGATTGTTATAGGATAATTAAACATATTGTTATATTGTTTTTAAACTGTAGGCGCAAAAAAAATATTTACTTACGTTTGCCGAATGTAGGTAGGTAAGTAGTATTAAACCATTCCTTACTCCGCCTTATTAGTAATACATGATTGATCTTTTATTAGCTTAGAAATATACCCAAACTGTTTTTATGCAGTCTTAACTAAATCTTTGGGTTTTAAAAATAATCTAGGAACTGACATATCGATCCCCTAGTTCACAATAATACTAATTACGGCAAACAGTTGGTGTAATTAGAACGATAGTGCACAAATCATAAACTTACAATTTCAGTGCCAAAGAAATTGTAAATAATATGATTGTGCACAGGGGATCGATGTGTCAGTTCCCGAATTATTTTTACAACCCAAAGATTTAGTTAAGATTGCACAAGAAACAGTCGAATTGTAGAAGTTGATAGGGGCGGCAAAATTTTAATAGCCTACTGGCGGCAAATTTGTGAATCCGCCACTGGATGAGGGGGATCAATTTTGGCCCGCGGGAATTGTTTTTAGAAAGTTTAGAGAGCGTGGGTATCACCGCGTACAAAGAGAACCGAGGTATGAGAACAAAATTACTAATAAATAATATGGATAAGTCCGATATATCATTTATTTCCTTCAACTTTAAATCATTTAAAAGATCTCTTGTTTAAATAAGAGTGTTGTGTAAGAAATACCACTTGCTGGCGCTCCAGGAAACCTGGTTGTTCCCACACGATCTAGGTTTTTTTTAACACTATAGACTCAGAATTTGAATGCTGTGGAGTATCGGCCATTGACACATCTGGAGGATTAATCCGCGGAAGACCCTATGCTGGTGTAGCACTTCTATGCAATGAGCGATTATTTCCGAGTGCGGAGGTCATACCTTGCTATAAAAACAGGATGTGTGTATAATAACCGGATGTGTCTATTTCCTTGGCTTAGCTTTGTTAAGCTATAAATAGACACATGCTCGTTCTGAGTGTTTATATGCCTACAACCAGTGGCGACAACTTAGCGGAGTTTACAACCTGTTTAGGAAATATTAGTGCAGTGATAGAAAGTGCGGATATAGAATCAGTTTTTGTTCTAGGTGACTTCAATGACCACCCGGATTCACTTTTCGCAAACGAACTATCAAATTACTGTCATGAGCAGACGTTAAGTTATGTTGACATCGATCTTCTAAGTAAGGAATCCGACACGCGCACATTTGTAGGCGATGCGCACGGGACATGTCGATGGCTCGACCTGCGACTGCGGCCGCCGCTAGCGCAGTGAGTACATACAAAGTTACAAAGGTATTCTGTGGTGAGTACTGAGTAGTGTGTGCGTATTATATGACATCTACTCGTCGGATAACTTTCCGTTACTTGTTAAATGGACTATTAGTACAATTATACCTATAGAAGTGACTTATTTAACTAGTAAAGATAGTATGGAGCAATAGAGACTCGGCGGAAAATAGGAAATATAGTACCATAAGCGATTTGAATTTAAATAAGCTCTTAAGACAAATTAATTTTAATTTTTTAATAATAATATTATATGTAACTGTGAGATGTGTGTGTGCTTGTAAGAATAGTGACCACTATACTTCAATAAATGAATTTTATAATAATTTTATAAAGATATTACAGACTAGTGCAGAGAATAGTTATAGGTACATAAGAGATAAAAAGCCATTTGTGATTGGTTGGAACTTGGAACTATCACGTGAGGCATCTACATAGCTACATGGCTAGATTAAAGTTTAGTGTCTGGGTTGCTGTTGGCAAACCATCTTGTGGTTATTATTGTAATTAAATGGCTTTGGCTCGTAAGGAATTGAAATCCGCACTTAAATTCATTCAAAACCATCAAGAAAAGATAAAGGTAGATATATTGGCCTGAAATAATAAATCGAAAAAATTTGGAAGAGTTTAAGAAGTTAAATCATAAAGCGGGTCGTTCTATTAGTATCCAGGGTGAAGCGAATCACACAAAGATAGCCAACCTTTTTAAAAATAATTTTAATGTTGACGTGAAAAATGAGCAAGATACACCTCAATTAACTACTCAGAATCATACCTTGTTGAGTACAGAAACATCTTATGCTCAGCTAAAATTCGTGAACTACCTAGTTACGGAGGAGGATGTGGTATCAGTCTTACGTAGCATGAAAAGGGGAAAGTCTCCGGGATGTGACTACCTGAGTATAGAACATCTGTTGCATACCGGTCAGTATATTTGTGTAGTCCTCTCTGCATTATTTAACTTATGTATGTGCCACTCATGCCTGCCAAACAATTTATTACGTACCATTATGGTGCCGATTCCGAAGTTTAAGACTGGAGATCGCACAAGCATGGCTAATTAAAAACCGACCTATATCTCTCGCCACTGTTGTGGCCAAGGTGTTTGAACGTTTGATTCAAGCCAAAATTACAGCCCTACATGTCTTTTGAAGATGGTCAGTTTGGTTTTCGGCTATTTTTCTTTAAAACAAGTAGTAAAGTACTTTGTTGATCGCGATACTAGTGTATACGCCTGCCTTCTTGATTTGAGTCGCGCTTTCGACACGTTAAATCATGATCTTCTATGGAAGAAGCTAAGATCTAATAACGTTCCTGCTGATATTATTGACCTGCTCACTTATTGGTATAAGAGACAGATCAGTAATGTTAAATAGGGTGACTCTCTGTCCGATGACTACTCGCTGATTTGTGAAGTAAGGCAGGGGGGGCTTATCTCACCCGACTTGTTTAATATCTATGTGAATGACTTGATCGTGAAACTGAGTAGAACCCCAGTCGGACTTAGGCTTGGTAGCCGTTATGTTAACAACCTAAGTTACGCTGACGATATGGTTCTGCTGAGCCCTACAATCAAAGGTATGCGGAAATTAATATCTTTAAGTGAAAAATTTGCTAATGATCATAATTTAATTTATAACGCAAAAAAAACGGAGATGGTGATTTTTAAGGCGGGTAAGGGCCCCACTAATGTACCTGAGACGTACGTGGCGGGTCAACCCCTTAAAATAGTTCAAACGTTCAAATACCTCGGCCACATAGTGACAGCGAACAGAAAAGATGATGCGATATAGGTAGAACGACAGAGAAGAGCTTTCTGTCTGTGGCAATATGATCGCCAGGAGGTTTGTTAAAGCCTCCAAGGAGGTTGACATTGCTCTTCCAAACGTACTGTCAGTCTTTTTACACCTGCCAGCTCTGGACTGAATATGCGGGGCGATCTTTGAATGGTATTCGTGTGCAATATAATAACGTCTTTAAAATGCTTATGGGTCTCAAACGCTATTGCAGTGCTTCAGGCATGTTTGCCGAAGCACGAATTAATACGTTTAATGCCATTCAAAGATTCAGAATCGCATCATTCATATCCAGGGTTGGTGAGTGTAGAAATAAAATAATTAGTGAGTTTGCGGTAAGACTACCGGCCACAGCCTTTTATCAAAAATGGCTTAAG